AACAGACGTAAAACTTTCAAAGCCAGCTCTAATCGGATCTTCCCAATTCTCCGATTCCCACATAGGTATGTGGAAATCGTTGTTCATACCTTTTTGAAAACAGCTGTAAATCGATTGATATTAGTGTATAGTAAAATCGCATTTCCGACACTTTTACTTAATGAACAAAGACCGGTTAAGATAGCCATTTTTTTATATTTTTCGTGTTTTTGTCTTCGTTCTCGCTTTGTTTTGTTTTGTTCGGGCTGATCCGGTTTATATATCGGGTAATCCCGTGATGTACCAACCTAGGAAATTCTCAAGGATGATTGGTTGATTATAGTATTAAGGTCGAGCAAAGGTCAAGTTATACTAAAATTTTTGAAATGATTTTTTTTTTTTTTTTAGGATATGAAAAGTAGTTTCGCAAGGAAAATTTGAGTTCATAATTTTACATTACACCTGATCTTGTAAGCAAAGGTACTTTGTCATCAAAGATCAGAGCTGTGAGGAGAAATTAGGCCTCTTGACTTTTTAAGGACCGAACTGGGCTTTTAACATCCCTACATTTACAGCCAGTATTATCAACTGGACTAATTGGACATATGTCCAATTGGTTCAATTAGTTCAATTGGCAACATTGTTTACAACTGTTTTCATAAAGCTTGGGACAGCTGAAGACCGAATCGTTAAGTTATCAAAATCAGAAACTTATCAATTCATTTATTCAATTTTCAGGCGTCTCAGAATTTATGTTACAAACGTTCTACAGTCGATACTGTCTAATTGCATGCCATCCGTCAGAGACTTTTTCATGCATATAGACAGTATATGCATTTAAGTTATAAGAACCATGTTTGTGTTAATAGTTAAAAACCAAAATTTTTTATGCAGTTAGAGAGTATATGCAATTAGACAGTATGCAATTAGACAGTATCGACTGTAGTTCATTGATAATAAAACGTGTGCAATTTAAAAATCACAAGTGTCATTCTACAAGTTTCAACCCACACTGTATAGAAATTTATTGTAGTATTTTAAAAGAAATAAATAACAAGATAAATAAAAATTGTACTTGAACATAATTATAAGAAATAAAAGATATCTTTCCTAATGATTATATAACTAAATCTTATAACTAATCTAAGAACGATATTGTTTTCCAATGATTAATATATAGTTTGACTAATTCTACATCAATTTTTTGACAATTGAAAAGTGCCAAACTACGATTTATTGATTTATTGGTTTCAAATAATGGCTCTTCACTTTTATTTGATGATTCGCTCATAGCTTTTTCAAAAAATCCCGATAATGCTGCTACTGGGTTTTTATCCACATTTTGATATTCGGGTGTTTTTAATAATGTATTTAACCATTCTTTATT